CAAGTTATGTTGGACTTCAAAAGCAAGTAATTTACTCAATTCATACAGGTATTTACAGATGCAGTGAAATTGTTGGCTTGACTCAGCTCAAGCAGCTTTTAAGTCTAACCTGAAATTTCTTATGGAAAATTTCTAGCAAAGGCAATTAAAAAAAAAGAAAAAATCCAATATGGCCAACATCTATTCTTGCTGTGCTTTATGCAAATAATCAGGGCAAATATAGAAAAGCTGAAAGTGATTTTACAAATAAATTGGTTCTACTATGATTTGTCTTTAATAAAAATGAGAAACTAGAGAAAGAAAATTATTTCAGAAAAAACATAGTGAAGTCATTATTAGATTCTAGCCTTGTCCATCACTTTTTAGTTTTATTAATATATTTACCTACAATTTTTTGACACTTAGCTTTCTTGACTTATTTTTTCTCCTCTGATGGCATGATCTCCTGAAAATAAACCTTCACAGTGATGTGGGATTAGATTAAAAATATAACCATGAACTCACATCTTCTACAATACTTTCTCTGAAATATTTCAAAGAACATGGGAGAATGTAAAAAGAAAATCAAAGTCTCAAGCATCTACTCCCTTCAACTCCTTATGCAAAAGAGAAGATAAAGGCCTCAGGCACCTATGAAGAACTGGCCCCACAGATCATTCATTAAGGATATTCCTTGATGACCTCCTATGAGCAAGGACATGCAAACTGTACCTATGTCTACCACCTAAAACTAAAGCCTATTTGACTCTACACTATTAATGAATTTTAAGTTTATCTTTAGAGGCAACCAAACTGAAGACACAGAATCAAACATTATTCTACCTACCCAGGGGTATCTACATAATTGATTCTTCCTTCACTCCCTTTTCCCCTTCTATCATTTCCCTTATTTTATATAAAATATAGATTTCCTGGGCCTCACAAGAATTTAACCACTTTGCCTTATCAGCCCCCACTTCTCCCCTGCCTTTTCCCTTCTCTCTGTATACCTTTAAAATGCTGAAAGTTCCAACTTTCCCTTCAGGGAGAAAAAAACAGCTACAGCTTGTCTGCTGTTCTGGGTTTTTCCCCTTGGCACATCCTCAACTTTGGCTTAATAAACCTCCATTGATTGAGGTTTTTGCCCCAGTCATTTACTTGTCAACAGTCTCCATTTACCTGTAAAGAGAGAAATAGGGGCCAGGTGTGGCAGTGACAGCCTTAGCACAAAAGGTGCTATGGTTTGTATGTTTGTTCCTTCTAAAACTCATATTGAAATTTAATTACCAATGCAACAGTGTTGGGAGGTGGGCCTTTAAGAAATGATTAAGCCAGGAAGGCGCCACCCTCTAATTTAATGCCTTAATTAAAAAGCTTTCAGGTGTGGGCTCTCTTTTTTGCTGCCCCCCGCCCCCTACCATATGATGACTTTTACCATGTGGTGATGCAGTAAAGAAGGCACTTGCCAGATGCTAGCACCTTGATACTGGACTTCCCAGCCTCCATAACTCTGAGCCAATAAATATATGTTCATTATGTTCATAAATACCCAGTCTCAGGTATTCTGTTATAGTAGCACAGAATGGACTAAGAGAAATTGGTACCAGAGGAGTGTGCTTCTTACTATACCAGACACCTAAAACTGTGGAAGCATCTTTTGGAACAAGGTAATGAGTAGAGGCTGGAACAGTTTTGAAGTGAATGCTGGACAAACCTGTATTGCCGTGAATGAAGCATTAAGGGTGATTCTGGTGAGGATTCAAAAGAAGAGGATAACTAACTGTAGGGAAAGTCTGAGTCTTCTTAGTGATTACTTAAGTGATTGAGTAACAGAGTAGTCGCCCCTCCTCCTGCAGATAAGGAAGAGAAGAAATATTGAGAGTGGGGACTATGTAACAGAGGGAATGACCCAGAAAAAAAAAAGGACAAAAAGATTTTCTGTCTCTTTAAAATTTCCCCCATGCTTTTTGGGAACTGCAGCCTGGCCTGCATCCCTGAGGCAGGTTAAGTCTTTTGTTAAGATTTCCAGGTGGGGACAGCGCCCCCACCCCTAGGTGGGCAGTTGGCAGGAGTTCACAGGCTTTGTTGTGGGTAGAGATGAGATGATTAGAATAGGTAACCACAGTAATTGCCTGAAGCTGAGAACCTTCCCCTTTAAAAGCTCTGTATTTCTGCTATGTTCAGGAAATTTGGGTTTTGAAATGAGAGAAGGTCTAACATTTTTCCTCCTTTGCAAAGTAAAAATCTCTTTCTACATCCCCAAAACACTTGTCCTCATTCTTCTAATTTGGCCTTGTGGACAAATGCCAAGTTTCCAGTAACAGTTGTGCTACCAGAATGCTGGTAGAAATATGGACTATCCTGGAACAAGATATTGGAAACTGGAGGAAGAGTCATTCTTGTAACAATGTGGCAAAGAACATGTCCAAATTGTGTCCATGTGCTAAGATTTTATGGAAGGCAGAGCTCAAGAGCCATGAACCAGGATATCTGGTGGAAGATATATCCAAGCAACAAAACATTCATGGTGCTGTGTGGCTTCTTCTAATTGTATATAGTAAAATGCAAGAAGAGAGAAATATTTCAAAGACAAAATGTATAATTAACAATGAAGCAGAATATAACTATTTGGAAAACCCCCAGCCTGGCCATGTAAAGAATAAAAAGGAGTATTTTGGGGAGAAAACCGAGGGCGTGGCCAAGTGACTATTTGATTAAGATTAATAGAAAGAAAGAATTCAAGTGCTATTCATCAGGACAATGTGAGAATGACCCTGAAGGTATTTTGGACATCTTTGAGGCCTCCTATCCTATCACAAGCTCAGAGCACGAGGGCCTTGAGGACCATGAGGGTAGAATGGTTTTGGAGGATGGGCCAGTAGTTCTTTCCACAGGCTGGCTGCCCAGGGCCACGTCTGAATTCTGCTCCTTGCATTACAGAGCAGTGGTGATCATGTTTTCCTTTCAAGGTGGGTTCCAAACCAGACTGATAAGTCATTGGTGAGGAAAGATAGTGATAAAATCAGATTGCAAAGGTGCAAAAGAAGTGGTTAATGGGGCATTTCAGGAGGCAGAGGGAAATCACACAATCTTCTTATTTTTCTTCTGTATATAATGTCCAGAATATTTAATTGTACTTAGTAGAAAGAAATAGAGAAAAGTACATCTACTCCATGTTCCAGAAGCAGAAATCCCAAATAAAGATTATTAAAAGTTTGATAATAAAATATTGGCAAGGATTTGCATCTAAGAGTCAGGTACATTGCCTGTGGGAATATAATATGCTACAAGGATTTGGAGATTAATTTGTCATTGTATCATATTTCAGATGGGCATGCTCTATAGCTCAGCAACTTAAGTTGTAGGTGTATGGCAAAGAGAAACTTCCACATACATAATGACAGAAGGAACAGCCTACAAGCTTATTCGTGACATTTTTTTTTGTAATAGCAAAATACAACAAAAAATAAATAAAAACCAAAAGGATACAAAAGAAATTTGTGATTACATGGTATAGACTAGTGAAACTATTTAAGTAAGGGCTACATATATCTATGTGGATAAATTTTACTCCCCCGAAAAGCAACTTGCAGAAAACACATAATAACACCACAATACCACTTCTGTAAATATTAAAGAAACCCAAAGCAACACCATATACATGGATGGTAAAAATGTGAAAACATGAACAAGAAACATAAACTACATTCTAAGGTAATGGGTATCTCTTGGGAGATGGGTGTTTGGAGGATGCCACTGAGAAAGTATAAAAAGGAAGCTTCTGACCCCAAAATGTTTAATTTTTATAAAAAAAGAAAATGAATGGGAGCAAATGTGACAAAATGTAATAAAAAAATGTTAACATTGAATATGTCTGTTTAGGGGTTAGATGGGTGATTTTTGTTTTATTCTCTACATTTTCTTTGTATATTTGAAATACTCCATAAAAAAAGAGAAGCTGCTCTCCCTCCTCTTCTTCCTCCCCTCCTCCTCTTCCTCCTCCCCTCCTCTTCTTCCCCCCCTCCTCCTCCTCTTCCTCCCCCTCTCCCTCCTCTTCTTCCCCCTCTCCCTCCTCCTCTTCTTCCTCCCCTCCCTCCTCCTCTTCTTCCTCCCCTCCCTCCTCCTCTTCTTCCTCCCCTCCTCTTCCTCCTCTCTCCCTTCCTACTCTCCTTCACTCCCCTCCTTCTTCTTCTTCTCCCTTCCTCCTCACCCTCCTCCTCCCTCTCTCTCCTCCATCTTCTTCCTCCCCTCCTTCTCTTCTCCTCCCCCTCCTCCTTTCTCTCCTGCCTCCTCTTTCTCTCTCTCCCCTCTTCTTCCTCCCCCTCTCTTCTCCCCTCCTGCTCTTCCTTCCTCCCTCCTCCTCACTTCCTCCATCCCGCCTCCTCAGAGACCCAGGGCGGACTGGGGCACAGGGAAGATGTGTAGGCCGGCCTCCTCCCTGTCCCTCTTCACTCTTCCTCCCTCTTCTCCACTCCTGCTCCTCCTACCCCCCTTCTCCGCTCCTCCTCCTCCCTTCTCCACTCTCGTTCCCCCCTCCTCGCACTCCCCGTCCCCTCATCCACTCCCTCCTCCCCCCTCACCGCCTTATCCACTCCCCTCATCCTTCCTCCCTCCCCTTCTCCACCCCTCTTCTTACTCCTCCCTCCTCTTATCCTCTCGCCTTCCCACCCCCACCACCTCCTCCGTCCCCTGCTCTCCATCCCCTCTCTCTGCCTTCTCACTCCCACCCTCTCCTCCGTGCCTTCTCCACTCCCCCACCTCCTCCTCCTCCCATGCCTTCTCTTCAGTCCACCCCCGTTCCCGGCTCTCCCTTGTTGTTCATCCCCACCCTCTCTCTCACCTGCCTTCTCACTCCCCGTCCTCCTCCCCCCTGCTTCCTCCACTCCACTCCTCCTCGCCGCCTGCCCTTCTCCCGTCCTGCGTTCCTGCCCCGCCTCCGCCGCTGCGCGTCCTGGCCAAGATGGCCGGCCGCGGCAGCACGCGCCGGGAAGCTGCCCTGTGCGGAGCCCCGGTTGGGCCCTCAGTGCCCCGCGTTGCTGGCGGCCCGGTCCCAGGCATTTCAATTAACCTCCAGAAGATGGCTGAACTTGCAGGAATACCAGAGCAAGAAACTGATGTCTGACTATGGAGTGAAAGTTCAAAGATTCTTTGTTGCAGACACTGCGAATGAGGCTCTCGAGGCTGCTAAGAGACTGAATGCAAAAGAAATTGTTTTAAAAGCCCAGATCTTAGCAGGAGGAAGAGGAAAAGGTGTCTTCCATAGCGGTTTGAAAGGAGGTGTTCACTTAACAAAAGATCCTAACGTTGTGGGACAGCTGGCTAAACAGATGATTGGATATAATCTAGCAACCAAACAAACTCTGAAAGAAGGTGTGAAAGTTCACAAGGTGATGGTTGCCGAGGCCTTGGACATCGCCAGGGAAACCTACCTGGCGATTCTGATGGACCGGTCCTGCAACGGCCCCGTGCTGGTGGGCAGCCCCCAGGGCGGCGTGGACATTGAGGAGGTGGCCGCCTCGAACCCAGAACTTATCTTTAAGGAGCAAATTGACATTTTTGAAGGGATAAAGGACAGTCAAGCTCAGCGGATGGCAGAGAATCTAGGCTTCCTTGGGCCTTTGAAAAACCAGGCTGCGGATCAAATTAAGAAGCTGTATAATCTCTTCTTGAAAGTTGACGCTACTCAGGTGGAAGTGAATCCCTTTGGTGAAACTCCAGAAGGACAAGTTGTCTGCTTTGATGCCAAGATAAACTTCGATGACAACGCAGAGTTCCGACAAAAGAATATCTTCGCTATGGACGACAAGTCAGAGAATGAGCCCATTGAAAATGAAGCTGCCAGATACGATCTGAAGTACATAGGACTGGATGGGAACATTGCTTGCTTTGTGAATGGTGCCGGGCTTGCCATGGCTACCTGTGACATCATTTTCCTTAACGGTGGGAAGCCAGCCAACTTCTTGGATCTTGGTGGCGGTGTAAAGGAAGCTCAAGTATATCAAGCATTCAAATTGCTCACAGCTGATCCTAAGATAACCTTTCTCTTTGTACTGAGATTGCATAATGCTTGGATTTCTCGCCATCAAGAGCTGATCTGAGGTTCCTGCTGCTGAGAGTGCCAATAAGTCAACACGTCCTTCGCAGCCCCAGATGCAAATTCTGCTTCATATTCCACTGGAGCACGTGATGATTTAACTCTCATCTTGGATGGAAAGCTTATAAACACCCCGCCAGGATCTTATTTTGGAAACTGTGTATACATAAAGTTCTGGGAGGTGGAAGGGACCATAAAGGATTTGACACGAGAAACAGTGAAACATTGGTTGGCATGGAATGGCATTTGAGTAATTTACACTGAAGTGATTAGTCCCATGCTTGCATGACTTAGAGAGGAGTCAGCCTCAGATTCCTTCCTTAAAGATGCTGAAGGCATTATAATATTGGACAGTTGTGGGATTATTGATTCATATATCACTGGGAAATAATGGCCCCACCTCCTTCTATATGCTTTTTAATTTTCATCTGGGACTGTCACCGTTTGTAACGTATACACTGAGTATACACTGAGTATGGAATAACTGCATGGTTTCATAGTTTCTCTTTTTGCTCAACTTACAGTGTAGCTGACGAGAACGTAGCTACCACACCATGCTAGGTGCGTCGTAGGCACTCAGTGAATATTTAATCGGCTCGTTTAGGAACCAAGTTAAATGCAAACGTGCTTTGTTTCAACTGTAGGTACTCAGTTGTCTACGATGACATGGTTTTAGGTGGATGCTTATTACATGGCAAGATCAACATTTTTTGAATGTCTAATGTACATGGTTTTCATTTGATTCCCTTAACAGGCCTGTGAGGTAGGTATATGCTACTACCATTTGATATTAAACTTTATTTGAAAATCATTATCTAAATATTGTTAGAGTATCTAATAAATTTTGTTGGTTAATAAAATATCTGAACACACGGGAAATCTAAATTATCAACTAAGAACATCATGTATGAAAAAAATACTGCTTTTTTTTTTTTAAGAAATATGGTCTGAACTTAATATGTAGGCTTTCCATAAAGTATACTGACAATAGCCTATTTTGTTTTTCACGCATGCTATTTTACCTTAGTAGTTTGCTTATCTGTTTTATTTATGAGTTGGTGACTTTTCTGTTTTTGCTAACTCTTTCCTTCTGATTCATAAAATAAATGGTAAGATATTGTCGGTAAAAAAAAAAAAAGAGAGAAGCTACATTTTCTTTGCTCAGGAACTGTGTCAGTTATGAACCCTGCAATGAGATGTTGAGAATGCCTAAGATTACTCTTCTGTATTGAGAAATCTCCAAAATACTTGACTTGGGTGCCTTTTTTTCAAGAAGAGTCTGTAGGATGAGGGCTCTCAGAACACATTTTGGAAGTACTGCTATAATGGATGGTGGAAACCATCATTGAACATTTGACATCATTGTTAGTCACACTACCCAAGTAAAGACACACAGACCTAAGTTTCTAAAATTTGGACTGTCAGGCATTTTTGAACCCACATCCATGCTTGATAGTCGAGGTCAGGTGATTTAGGTTTGCATGTAGTTCAAGTCAGGAGCTGTGTCTGGGGTCTGCAATACCATGCCAACTTTCAGAGGCTCACTGAAAGGATTCATGGAAAAGACTCATGGGATTCAGCATGTAGTGGTACTCAGGGCTAAGATTCATTACAGCAGTGTAGTATGGATACACAGCCAGATTATAAGGGGAAAAGACACAGATGTAGTCTGGAGGAATCCATGTGCAAGCCTCCTTATACTCCTCCCTCCCATGAGGGGTCACATTCTCTTCCTCCAGCAATAAAATTGCAGCAACATGTGTGTGAACTTTCTACCCAGGGAAGCTCTTTGAGACTCAGTTTAGGGTTTTTACTGGAGTTGGTAGCATAGGCACCTTCTGCCTCTCATGGACCAAAAGTCTAAACTCCCAGAATGAAAGAAAGTACTCAGCGTAAATCATACTGTTTGTTAAGAACCCTCCCTAAATCCAAGCTCCTAGACACCAGCCATGGGCCAAGCTTACAAGCAGGCCTTTCTAAGGATAGCAGTTTCGGCCCTGTCATGTTAACTCTTTTCTGCACAGGAGAATTGGTCGCAATCTCAGAAAATGGAATCAGAATTATTAAAGAACCTGATGGGGTAGAATGATGAGGTGAAACCAACAAGGCTAAGCCAATTAAAGGAAAACAAGAGCCTTGCATTAAAGTCTAAAAGATTGATTACTAGTACTGGATAGAGGAGGACCAGCTTGACAGCAATTAATGTGAAAAAACACTCAGGGGGTTTGTTCCTTATTATGAATTAACAGTGTTAACTGAGCCATTCAAAAACTAATAGAATCTTATTCTAAATTAATGGGAGTGTCATGCCCAGATCAATGGAGGTAGAACTCCCATGGGATTCTGAAATGGTCAAACACCACTTGGACAAATATATGTATTTCTAAGGTCCTTATTCTAACACAGATATGAATAGATAAGAGAAGTGCAGTGGGCAGTGCGGGTTGCTTAGCTGACACTGACAGGTGAGCAGTCTTAAAATTTTTAAAATGAGACTTTGAAAAAATTTAAATGAGTCATGGCTATTCTCTTTTGTTCCATTGGGAAGATTTGGGACCAGCGGTGGCAACTTTAAGGAGACAGATATGGAATCTATATATAAAGCAATTAGAATGTCCCAAGTGTGGAAGCTGGCTTGGGCAGGAAAGTGTTCTCCAATACTGGAAGTATTCATACTACTGGATGAACATTTATCTCTAGACTCGATGAGACATTGAACCTGAAGATCTGTAGTTTCTCTTTATACTCTAGAGTCCTTGACCCCCTTGTTATATTTATTGAGACATTTTCCATTGTGCCTATGGTGTAGAATCTGCTGAATGAATAGCCAAAATGAAAGCAAGAATGACCATGGCCCAATGTCTCTCAATTTCGTTCTCAATTTGACAACAGGTACTATAGGAGTGCACTGTGAGCTCATTCCATAACATCTTCTCATACAGATGGGCACTAAATTTGGAGACAACACCTTTTGCATAATTACATTCATGCTTGAAATTTTCAACTTCAGCATTAATCTTTAAGGATTATGTGACAAACAACAAGACATTACCTCAACAGGGGACCCTGTTAAATTTAGATGTGATTTCAGAGAACACCAGGAAGTTCCTTAGTCACAATTGACCAGAACTCCTGATTAAACCATGAAAAATTCATTCCTGTGCATCTTGGAAATATGTTGACTTTCAGAAATACCTATTAAAAACAAATGTCTTTTAGGGGACATAATGCTTCAGATATGAGCAGGTATGATGTAAACCATGTGTTTTCTAAACTTTCTGTAGCATGTACACTATCAGTGTGTGTGTATTATGTATATATGTATCTGAGTGTGTATCTCCAATATGTATGTATGTATTTATTTACATATATTCACAACTCTCTTGACTCATTCTCAGATTTATTTCCTTAAAACAATTACAACTCTAGTCAGATCCAGTTCGCTGCCTTACTCTGCAGCTGTGCCCAGCTACTGCATTTGACTGAAGAAAAACCTACAACCATGCTTGCAGGTCTCTCTTTAAATTTATGCTGCAAACCTCAAGTGGGCCCTTTATGCAGCTGGGCCATGAGACTATCCTTCCCTAATCTATTCACTCTCCCTAAAGATGTAGTTTTTAGAATTTTAATTCAAACATTTAAGTTTAGCTAGAAGTCACCTGGAGATCTTGATAAATATCGTTTCTGATGCTGTCACGGAGCCTGAGAACATGTATTTCTAACAAATTTCCTGCTGGTCCATGAGTAGCAATTTCCTAAATCACTAATTTATACCTTAGCATCTCCTTAAACTTCTAACACTTCCTCCCTCATCCCTGCTCCCAGCTAGTTTCTTGCTTCTTACTGCACTAAGAAAGCCTTAGAAATTACGAGAGAACTTCACAGACTGCACCATCTCATCTATACATCTGCCAGCATCTGGACCCATATTTTCTGCCTTCCCACCTATTAATAAACATTCAAACTTAACTTGCTTAAAAGTGACATTCTGATTCTGTCACCAAAATCCCTTCTACCATGTACCATGCACCCATGTCAGCTGATAGCACTGTCATTCTTCCAGTTGCTCAAGTCAAAAGCCTTAAAGTAATCCTTCTTATGTTTCTTTCTACACATTTTATGTCCAATCCTATGCCATTACCTTCAAAATATATCCAGTCTGACCACTTCTCACCACCTCTACTGTTACCACCTGCTCCAAATCACCTGGATCACTGTAATTGCCTGCTAAATAGCCTCCCTGCTTCTATTCTTGCCCCTTAGGGTCTATTTTCAATCCAGCATGAAAGCATCTTGTAGATGTACTGCATGATATTGAATCCAAGATGTCATCAGTTGTATGAAGCAGCCTTATTTCATGTATAAGTGGCATTGCTGTGAACTAAACAATGATACTCTGCTTTTGGTATGGTTTGCATGTGTCCCTCAAAAGTTTAAATGTTGGAAATTAATCCCTCTGTCCTCATGAATGGATTAATATCGTTATCATGGGAGTGGCTTTGTTATAAAAAGGAACTCTCTCTGGCTCTCTTGCTCTTGCTGTCTTGCCATGTGATACCTTCTGCCATGTAATGATATAGCAAGAAAGGCCGCATAAGATGTTGGTACCATGCTATCAGATGTACCAACCTCCAGAAGTATGACCCAAAATAAACTTATTTTCTTTATAAATTACTCAGGCTATAATATTCTGTTATAGCCACGGAAAACTGCCTAAGACCACCTTAATAATAATCATGGGAAAAAAACTATATAGTCACACAGAAATCTCTCCTCTTTGAAAATATTATCAATATCAGGATTTTTAACACTTTTTCTTGTGTCTAGATTCATTGCTTATTTGTTGATAGGCAATCCTTTCACATATATATATATATATATATATATATATAGGGAACAAAAGAAAATGCAAGTTCATTCACTTCAGGGTTTATTTTCTTTACTTTTTTAAAGCACTTATTTGGTCATTGCTCTGCATGAAATTGTGGATTTTTAATCATTCTT